GATTCCTTGTGGTTTTAAGTAGCTGAATATATTTGCGAAGAGTTCCAAAATAACGCTATACATACAGTAATTGTAAAATAATGATAGAATATAATATGTATTCAAGTTAAATATAACTTATTATCGAATGGGATGTTCGACAAAAAAGACATATTTGCCACGCGTTCATAAACATCAGAAATAAATATCCTTTCTGATTCCTTGTGGTTTGAAGTAGCTGAATATATTGCGAAGAGATCCAAAATAACGCTATACGATATAATAATTGCAAATAATGATAGAATATAATATGTATTCAAGTTAAATATAACTTAATTATCGAATGGGATGTTCGACAAAAAAAGACATATTGCCACGCGTTCATAAACCATCAAGAATAAATATCCTTTCTGATTCCTTGTGGTTTTAAGTAGCTGAAATATTTGCGAAGAGTTCCAAAAATTTAACGCTATACGATACAGTAATTGTAAATAATGATAGAATATAATATGTATTCAAGTTAAATATAACTTAATTATCGAATGGGATGTTCGACAAAAAAGACATATTGCCACGCGTTCATAAACCATCAGAAATAAATATCCTTTCTGATTCCTTGTGGTTTGAAGTAGCTGAATATATTTGCGAAGAGATCCAAAATAACGCTATACGATATAATAATTGCAAATAATGATAGAATATAATATGTATTCAAGTTAAATATAACTTAATTATCGAATGGGATGTTCGACAAAAAAAGACATATTGCCACGCGTTCATAAACCATCAGAAATAAATATCCTTTCTGATTCCTTGTGGTTTTAAGTAGCTGAATATATTTGCGAAGAGTTCCAAAATAACGCTATACGATACAGTAATTGTAAATAATGATAGAATATAATATGTATTCAAGTTAAATATAACTTAATTATCGAATGGGATGTTCGACAAAAAAGACATATTGCCACGCGTTCATAAACCATCAGAAATAAATATCCTTTCTAAAAAAAAAAGGGCTCACGTGTGTTTTATAATGCTGTTATTATACATTTTAAACATTTGATATAGTAGGCCGATAGTCTCTTATCAAGATTTCAATAATTCAATAAATCATTAATTATATCATTACCGAAGCAGTTCCTTTAATCTTGACATTTATGTTGGTAGATGATTAATTCTTCCTTTTTGTATTGCAAATGTTAAACAGTATCTGAATTCAGATACAAATAAAATGCATTATATCATCTAAAGTTCTTTAAAACTATCGCTAAAATGAAAACTACCGAGGCCCTTATAAAAATCTGGAAACAAAGTGATCTGTCGGAAGCATTAATCACAACAAAATTACATAAGAATTGCAGACTCGGTTTGATTGAGTTTGTACACGAGGGATAATCTTAGCCAACTTAGACAACTTATCTTAGACAACTCTTAGCCCCAAAACAAATTTTAATATTTTCTATCGAATTCATGAAAGGACAACTTCATTTTGTTGTCAATTAGTATCATTGATATTTGTCAGTTGTGTTTGTAACACAATTTATATTACAATTCTTACAAATACTAACTCATTAAATCGTTTTAAACAATTAGCATTAGAATTTGAAAATAAACGTTATAATAATGATACATTCTACTTCTTTAAAGCAACATTAAATAAATATATATAAATATTTTGCCGTTAACTCAAAGAATGAGCATTTATATAGTTCCATTAACCTTTTAGACGGGATCGCTTTAAATCTGATCAAAAACTGTTCAGAATTACGAATTTTGAAAGGAAAACCCCACGGCAACACTAATGTTCGTATACGAACTTTAACATGTTAATGAAGAGACGAGAATCAGTTCGCGCATGCGCCTAGGCAATCATAATGTCACATGGATCAACAGTTTAAAAAAATGGCGGAGCGACTGAAAAAGGAACGGGTGAAGAGAAAGTCAGAGGAGGAGCGGTTAGCTACGAAAAAAGAGTCCAAAAAGAAATACGAGTTATCGTCACATATAATTAGAATTTCATTGAGAAATTTTAGTAGATGGAAAGATGCAAAAACGCCCTGAATGTCAAGACGAATGACGAAGTTGCATCGGCTCTTCTTGATCGGTGGTAAGTAGAATCGACTAAGTAAATTTTTGATTTATTTTTCACTATTGAGGGGGAAATGGTAGTTGTTCGTCGATATAAGTAGGATTGGTTTTCATTTATATTCAACACCGTAACTAAAATGTCTCATTTAGGTGCTATACCCATATTTATTTGTAAACAATGATGTCGAATCGGATGGGGCTCCGATGGGGTATTCAGATCATGTCACGCATTATAAAAGTGCCAACTGTTTTAAAACGCACAAAAATCCAAGTATTTACAGAATTTTTTATTTATGTTTAGAAAATCGTTGAAAATATTTCCTTTTGTAACGCTCATATAAAACAATTTCTATAATATAATAAGTTTGTAAAGTATTTATCAGATTATTGTACATGTATGATGTCAGTTTAAACTTTCAATGAGTACAGTATGGTGCATAATCCGTTTTCTGTTAGCAGTTTAATGTTTCTTTGATGATTGTAAAGGCTATTGCAGTGAAATAAGAGACATTATTAAATTTACTTTAACTTTTGTTAAACAGATCTAATAAAGACAAACTCCCCTACTGTGTTAAAGTGTTTTTGTTTGTTTTTTCAGACTTCATAGGATGTATTCCAAAAAGAGTAACAACTGGACATGTTATCCCCAAAAGCAGCCAAAGAAATATGAATACATTCCCGAACTTTTGAGACAGATCATAGACCATTTTGTTTCAAGTGACATTCCTTTAACAGCTCCTCAGGAGATGACACCATCAGATCCAAGAAAAATGAAACGTACATTATCAGAATTGTCTCCCCCTCCTTCTTGTGTTTTAATGGAACAGAAAAAGTCCAGATTTGGGGATGAGAAATAGACATCTACAACTGAGTGTTTGGGGATGAGAAATAGACATCTACAACTGAGTGTTTGGAGATGGGAAATAGACATCTACAACTGAACGTTTTAATAGACATCTACAACTGAGTGTTTGGAGATGGGAAATAGACGTCTACAACTGAGCGTTTGGGGATGGGAAATAGACATCTACAACTGAGTGTTTGGAGATGGGAAATAGACATGTACAACTGAGTGTTTGGGGATGAGAAATAGACATCTACAACTGAGTGTTTGGAGATGGGAAATAGACATGTACAACTAAGTGTTTGGGGATGAGAAATAGACATTTACAACTGAGTGTAACAATGAAGTTACTATACAAGTACATAATTACCAGTGCACAGTTATGCATGCGTACTGACACTCAATCAGATACATTCATGTTTTGGATGTTAAATTGATAATATGCCATTTTAAAAAGGTCACTTTGTTATATCCTTGGAATTTCCATGTATGTGATATTATATTTGGCTGTATTTTTAGGTCTTCATTTAATGTTTTCATTGAAGAAATATTGTGAGTCATTGGAAATCAAAAATGATTCAATTGCTCTTTTAGGACATTCAATCTGTTATGAGGCTATAATTTGGTAGGTTATCCTGACTTCAAAACATGTAAATTGATTAATTCAAGGATGGTAATGTGTATAGATAGTTTTGATGCAGACTGTAAGAACATTTTTTTTTTAAAATTTTGTTTCAAAAAAAGAAACTCAGTTTCCAGATAATAACTCTTTAAATGTGATGCCGAATTGTAGTAATATTTGAGCCGTGTCACGACAAAACCAACATAATGGGTTTGCGACCAGCATGGATCCAGACCATGCTGTTCGCTATCAGTTTCTTTACTTGTTGTAGGGTCTGTAAGTGAACAGCATGGATCCTGATCAGACTGCGCGGATGTGCAGGCTGGTCTGGATCCATGCTGGTCGCAAACCTATTATGTTGGTTTTGTCATGACACGGCTCATTTGGTTCATCATAAAACAAAGGTTGAATTTGATTTCTTGCCACTGATATATAAGCGCTAGACTTTTTGCCGTCCGCAAACTTATCTTTGATAAAAACTTTTTAAGTTCTTGATGTATTGTCTTCATACATGTCCTCAACAACCTTTGGGACAAGACCTTCAAGTAGCCCAGGCTAAACTTCATTTATAATTGTCAAGATCAAACGTCTAAATTTTGCTCGAGTTTTGCTATTAGTGGCTTCAAGGTTATTTTTGAATGGCTTGTCTCTAAATTTGAACTTAACAATTTTTCAGGTTAGATGTTCAAGAAAACCAGACATTAACCTTCATTAATGACTTTGAAGGCCAAATTAATGATTTTTTAACGTTGTAACTGTCTATAACTTGGTTATAGTGAATGGATTAACTTCATATCAAGATTCTTCAGGATAAGATGGACATTTTAAACTTATCTTGCTATTATTTAACTTTAACTGAGTATTTGAATTATCTTCAAGTTGGGATAAAACAATCCCTTGGATAAACCTTCGCAAAGGTTGAACTGACCTTGACCTTTAAATGACATTGACTGTTGTAAATGTTAAATTATTTAATGTTGCTTTATTGTCATAGTTTTGGACAAAAGAAGACTTGCTTCCAAACATATTGAATATTTAGATGTGACCTTTAATTGTCATTGACTTTCAATGACAAGTTAATGGTATTCTCTTGCTTGTTTTCTGTAACAGTATATAACTTCATTATTTATAAATGGATTATTAAGTCATATTGAGACACAATTTTAGTCCAGGACCTTAAAGGTCAAATTGATGACTGTGAGCTATTATTTGGCCTTGTCCTGCAAGTGCCCTTGCTCTGTTTTGACAGAAAAACATGGTTTCTTAAATAAAGCTCTTTGTAATAATTGTGGGTACACAGATAATGCAAATAGAGTTCAAATTTAGCTTAGGTATGTGTTTGTTTATTGAAGGACTTTGAAAATACACACTTTTGCAAATGTTTTATTTAAATAAAAGAACTTTTCTTCTTTTCTCATTTTCAAACTTGGTAACAAAATTATGCTTTGCTTATGATTATCACTTACTCATTTGATATGATTCATTTAAGTGATTGTGGGCAAGTGCAAACATTTGTCTTTGAATATGTTTATAAAGTACTGAACAAAAACTGATGGTTTGATATAATAAAAATTTCACTTATATTTTAAACTTGTTTTTATTTTTTCAAATTATAACATAAAATTTCAAACAAATCTGCCTGGGACAAAGCCAGTGTAGGTCCCTGTTGCACTTGGGTACCTTGCTCTTATGGATAGCACGCAGCAACTAGGGACAACCCTACGTACCCCAGCACCAAGTCGCCCGTGCCGCCAGAGGGTGAAATTCCTATAAGCTGAGTACCGCATGGTTTTGTTGGTATTTTCCACCCTCTGGCCCCTCCTAGCTAGCATATCTGAGTAAAAACTCTGACCAAGAGCCAGCACTTGGGGGTCCAACACCAACCTCTCCATTTCCTGCAAGAACAATGATAATCTGCTATTTTGATGTAAAACCATTAAAGCAGCATGCCTGCAGATTTATGCTTATTGTCATGAACATTTTGAAAATCTTTTTAAAAATTGAATATTGTGAAGTGATTGAAGAAAGTAATTTACACACTGCAAAATTAGTGATGCATACAATCTATATAAATAATCATAAAGAGGCCAAAATATGCAAAAAAATAGCATCTTCGGTAAAAGTCGAGCATTAGAAATATAAATAATGCAATGATCAGTCATTTATTGCACATGTGTTATTTATTCCATTTACTTTCCTTAAATCTCATTCCTGTTTTTCTCAACTGTGATTTTCTAGGAAAATTTTGGCTTGTCTGAAGGCATACAGCTTAAAATTTGCATGTATGCTCAAATAAGGAGTGTTCACACATCAGTGTTTTTACATATATGTACAACTGGATATATTCCTAATCAATGTCAAAACTAAAAATTAATATGCATCAAATGCAAAAAAGAGAAAAATTAATATTTATCAGATTTCAGAAAATAAATGAGGCTGCATCATAAGGGCAATTTACTGTTTAGTCGATAAAGTATAAATGTTGCTGAAAATTGGTCTTACATCTCTTGTTGAAACGCAATTTCTTGGCAGGCAGCCACAGCACTTGTTGTCTATGTCTGCCCCCATTTCTCGGCATCTTCCACACTTGCACCATGAAGGTGCCATTCCTTCCGAAGGGGTTGGTGATGGTGGATTGTGGCTCGGAGGAATACTGTCCTCACTTTCGCAGAGGTCAAACACTAGTCCTGGCTCTCTGTCAATAGAGCCAGAACTAGACTGCGCAGCTTGTCTGCCTCTATACTCTGTATCACCTCCTGAAATGTAATTATGAAAAGCTGTGATGAAGAATATTATATATAAAAAAATTTGTAGCTATTTTAAAACCAGTCACAAATGTAGTAAATGTACATATACAATGTACTGTATTTGTAGGTTGCAATCAGACCTGCATTAATGGTACTGCAGTATGTAATGCAGTGATTTTGCAAGTACTGATACTGAATTACTCTTACAAAATGTTGCCACTACCGGTACTGGTACTTCATTACTGTCTCAAAAAGTGGTTCTGCTACTGCATTACCAGGCAGTACTTTGGTTTTGATAAAAATGTCATTAGTTTTTCTTTTTGTGTTTTCTAGTAACAAAAAAAACAAGATAAACGCTAATGAATTGCTTCTATTCTTAATTATCATATTTCAAGTGATGTTGTTAGCCACATAATTTTTTTTTCTTTGGTATAAATTGAACAGAGATGTGAAAGGCAACAAAAGACTGTTGTGTTTTCAATGAAAGATGGTTGCATTGCATTTCAGTTGACTGGTTACTAAACAATAAGTTATGACCTACTATATGATGTAAATATTGTTTAAATCATTTAAGTTGTAAAAATGTAATGCCAACCTTTGAAGTAAAGAATAATTCCATTTTTGTTGGCTAAATGATGTTTGCATTTTGTTTTTTAATCTGAAGTGTACACATGTGAAATGGAAATACTTCTTTAAACAAAATTAAAATATGTAAACATACAAAATATGTTATTCTTGGTTGACAGTGTGAATTTATTCAAACTAGGATGTATATATAAAAATACAGGTATATTGCACAGGCCTTGAATTATGTTATTGTACCATACTTTGAATATCCTGTCAAAGCCTGTACTTCTATGCTGACCAGTTAAGCTCTATTTTTTGGTTATTATTATTGTATGGATAACTATATTTATCTAGATACCCCAACATTTATGTCTGATTTCATGTAATGGAAGAAAGACAGGGCAATATAACATGTAACATTAATCTTTAAAACCACAAGCACTTTTTCAGATACAGCCATAAAGAACTGATGAAACGGTTCATAAATCAAATAATTATGTACCTTCATTTGCTGTTTTCTGTGTCGCCATAGCTCTTCAATCCGCTCTTTGTCCGTCCTCCCTAAACTCGGTTCTCTACTCCTACTTCTACTGCCTCTTCCTCTGCTTCCACTGCCCCCTCCTCTACTTCCAGTGCCCCTTCCTTTACTTCCACTATCCCTTCCTCCACTACCTCTTCCTCTTCTTGCACTTCCTCTACCTCTTTCTCCTCTCCCACGACTACAACTCCTTTCAACCCTCCCTTGTCCCTGCCTTGCTCTTCTACCTCCTCTCCCACGAATCGGGGTAAAATCCTCATCCATAAAGTCTTCAATATCAATCTGCAAAGCAATTAACAATGTATCGGATAAACATCTGACATTGCTAAGGATAAACTTTTATCTAATATCTTATAAAATAAATAATGGGGGGGGGGGGGATAAATACTTTATATTATATTCTATAAGCATCAAGATTTTAAAAATGGTACAGACACTTGATACATTTCAGGCCTTCACACCTGCTGAATGTTGTCTGCCCCAAAACCAATTTGTATACATGTCTTTGTGCCCTTTTTGAAAATATATAAAATTATTTACAATAATGCTACATAGAACTCATTCTTGTGTACATTATCTATAATATGTTGTTTGGTATGGTTTTTCTGCCACTAAAAACAATGCAGCAAAGGTCACATGGCTACTTTCCAGTTTTAATGGTGATACATGGTTGTTGTCGGGATGGGGAAAGATTATCCAGTGAGTCAAAAAGTGTATCTCCTAGTCTTGGTGAGCTTTAGCGAGCCAAGATTCACTTCCTTACACACCAGATAAACCTTTTCCTATCCCGATATCTACCATTTATTACATTTATCATGCTTTTGTCTACTGATCATATAGACAGCCACTGTGAGAGACAAGTGGTTTGACGTTTAGAACCCTTACACTAGGGAGAGACCCTTATTTATAATATGTACACAACTTGGTTTAGATTTTAATCCTACATGTGAATGTAGGTGTATAAGTATGGGCAATTTTCAGGCAAATATTTGAATATTCATGGAGATTAATTAGTGTATGAATATCTGTGGAATATTCAAAAAAAAAAAAAAAAAAAAAAAAAAAAAAAAAATTCAATCCTGTTGAAGTGTGAGAAAAATGCAGTCTGAAACTAGACTCAAACACAGGACCACCAAAAATACCAATAACTGCCCTGCTACGTCATCATTCCCCAAAACAGTTACATACATTCAATATAATATTATCAGGATCATTCAAATTCTTTCGACCCCAATTCTTTTTATGGCCATGCAATGACCAAAAATCTTGTCACCCTTGCTTGTAGTCCCAATAGTGAATATATAATAGTATCACCTAAATTTACAGCCTAAAAGACCAAAAATAAAAGGCCCAGAACTATTTGTAACGATCAATAAATTTGAGACTGCAGAACATATTTGAAGTCAATTAGATCTACAGTACATGTAAATACAAGAAGAAAAAAATCATAAACTTCGCATATTTACAAGTCTCAATTTTTTTTTTAGTTTAATAATATTTTATTGCATATATAAATATACATCAATTCATTTACATTAACAAAATTACACAATATACAAAAGGGTTGGGCCAAAAGTTTTTACAACATTATCGTGGGCCCTTCCCTGTAAATGATTAACATCAGTTTCATAAAGTAAAGAAAGTTATACATTAAAGTTAAATATGCATTAAGTAACAATACATTTTCATTTTAAGATGAAAAGATAGAGAAGGGAAAGAACATGAAACAAGAAAAGAAAATGTTGCTGTATCAGTTTGTGTGTCGACACTACCACCAACCAATCCCCCATCATTAATTGTTAAAGCAGCATACCCATTGTTTGTAATGAGCAAAAAATAACGTTAAGTACTTGTTATAGTTAATTACAATAAAAAAACAATGTAGTAACTTTTATGTAAACCTCTTTGTTTCTTTGATTATAATTTTGACATGCTGCAAATAAGATTTTGTTTTGAGAAAGTCGGTTAAATTTTCAATGCCCAAAGAGTAGCTATTTAGTACTAAGCGGGTGGAATTATCTGGTTGTTTTGTAAATAGTTTTCTTCTTTGTATTGTATACTTTCGACATTGGAATAGGAAATGTTCGGCAATCTTGCAATTAGAGTACCACAATCGCATGCTGCACTAGAAGTAAGATGATTTGTAAAAAAAAGGTCAGAATTTCAAAAAAAAGATTGCTACATTTATTTCTAAATGCGAGCATGGTAGACAGCAAGATACACGAGCGCCTTCGATATAAATGGTGGCACAATAGGGGCTTTTATATAATGTTTTTAAGCTTATTTTTGAAAAATGGATAATTGTTTTCTGATTCTTCTAATATGGGCTGGTAAATTCGTTCCATAGTTGTATAGAGGACGGAAATGACAGACTTAGCATAAACTGTTCTTCTTGCTATTGAAGCATAATTAGCATTATTTCGTAAGCGAGTATAAATGTGAGGAAAACATGTTCGGACTGTTGGTGGGAATAACTGTGATAAATATAACGGCAAAAGGTTATGTTTTTTCTTTATAAATTAAAATAAGTTTTTGCATTTTTTCCCCTGTTCGTCTAATGAAAGTCATCCATTTCGTTTATAAGATTTTGGAATTGAAAACGAGATCTAGTTAGAACCTTGCTTAACCAACCCTGCTGCTTCATATGTAGGTTGTTCTAAAGTTTCTTTTTTCATTATTTGTACAGTTATCCCATACAATTGATGGCGCATATTCAAGCCTTTGGACGAAGATAGGAAACATATATATGATTAAGAGTATGTTCTTTTAACTTTTGAAATTCTATCCAATTTCATTTGAAACCTAGTTATTTTTGATGCAGATGGATACTAATATTTGCCGATGTGCTCATTGCCAGTTACCCGTCTTGGGCTAAAATTGTAACACACCTAATGGTTTATGGTGGTCGACAAATAAGTTGAAAATATTAAAGTATAAAAATTAGGTCCGAATTTCGATGACATATAAAAGAACATCCGCTTCTTTTTTTGCTTGGCGGGGGATTTTTTTTTAAAAAGTTAAACCAACCCATTGTTTTGACCAAGCTAAGAATGTTTATCAGGTGCGTGATTAATATTTCTTCGATTTTGTGACATTGTTTGATTTTACTGCAAGAGAACTTCGTCTGAAAGAGTCTTTGTACAATAAAAGGTTCCGCTATATCGTTTACCCGTTAAATCAAAAAAATTAAAAGAGGCCAAGGACCGAGCCGTTGGGGAACTTCCACCGTATAAACTAGGTAAAAGAAAAACCGAAGTAGTAACCAAAACCTTTTGACTTCCTGTTCTTTAGGATATTTTCCAAAACCAGTTATCAAGTTCCTTCCAATTCCTATTGTTTCTTAATTCTTAAATTAAACCCTTTAATGCCAAATCTATCAAAAGCTTTGAAAATATCACAAAAAATTATAACATTTGTGATTCCCTAGTATCAAAAAGGATTGTACAAAATTTTGGGTATAAATGTCTATAATTGATAAAATAGTGGATTGGCCTGCGAAGGAAAGCCTGATTGGTTTGAAAATAAATTAATTGTTCATTAAAATAGTTATTAATGTTAATATTCTTCCATCTACTTTTTCCACAACAACTTATTAGTGGCATATTGCGTAATTAGATGCTTCATCTTTATCCTATATTAAAAGCAAAAACATGAGCAATTCCAATTAGATGGGTAACATATTGGCCAATTTAAAGATCGATTAAAGAGTAAAACCAAAGAGGTTTGCATATTGATAGATTGTTTCTTTCAACAATTCAAGATAATTGTCGGGACCCGAAGCATTTATGACTGAAGATTATCTAATTATAATCGTGGAACTTTCTTGTTCTGTTAATTAAAAAATTATTAAGTTTTGAATGTGTGTTTGAATGAAAAAAATCCGGAAAGTTCAAGTGTTTGAATCGTCAATATTTAAAATTGAAACAAAAGAAAATCGTTCAGTGTATTTGCTTTTTCTGGTGTCAGAATATGAATATATTCTGTGTTATACATTTAATAAAGAGTGAATATTTCCCCGAATCCAAGAAAGAGTTTTTTTGAACCGAGCATTTTACCGTTTTCCAATATTGCGCGAAATTCATTGCTATT